CGATTTTTGAATTTAACGTAAGTTTAGAAACAGAAATGATGAAACTAGAAATATACATAAAGAGGCATACCTTCAAAGTCAAAGGATATACAAACAGACAATTAAAGCAGAGAAAACAAGAAGCTGGAGAGATTTCTGCACAACAACTTCGACTAATCCATGGGGCTTTGTTACAAAAATGTGCAGTAACAAATTAAGAAAAGCAAAAATACTGACTACTTCTAATGGCGATTCCGAGCCTGAATCTTTACTTCAGGCATTGACCACACAACTAGAGACATTTTGTCCTGATGATGATTCTGAACATGACATGGATTGGCACCAGCAACTGTGCTTGGAAATCAACACCATACCTGTTTGTCTGACAGAAGATGACCCATCTTTCACTATAGAGGAGGTTGATCGCACTTTTAAAAGCATGGGGAAAGGTAAGGCTCCAGGCCATGATGAGATAACTAATGAAATTGCCATAAAACTCTGGGCTATCATCCCACAACATCTTTTTAACATGTTTAATACTTGCTTCTATCATGCAATTTTTCCACAAGTGTGGAAAATTGCTAAGATTTCCAGTTCCCAAGCCTGGGTCTCCCTATGATGCTAGACTGATATCTCTTGCCTGTTTTGGGAAAAATTTTAGAAAAACTTATTGCTTGCAGATTGGCACGGTATATAGAGCATTACAACTTAAGTGAGATGCAGTTTGGATTTCGGCATCAAAAATCTGCAGAAGATTCCATCGAAGCTGTAGTTAACAATACACAGTCTTTATTGGAAGAACATAAATATGTTGTAGGGGTCAGCCTCAATATAATGAAGGCTTTTGACAGCACATGGTGGCTCCTTATCTTACATCAACTTTGTAATATTAACTGTCCACAGAACATCTGGAATGTTATACGTGATTACTTTTGTAACCACAAGGCTATCCTACGGTACGGTCAGTATCAGGTCATTAAAGATATTACTAGGGGTTGCCCGCAGGGATCCGTATGCGGACCATTGTTTTGGAACATCATCTTTGATACTTTCTTAAAAGATGACTTTGGAAAAATGACAATCTTTGCATATGCTGATGATGTAATAATGCTATTGGGTGGCCAATCACAATCTGATCTGGAGTTTAAAGGTAACATTATGCTGCAGAACATCTATGATTGGGGTGTTGCGCATAAGTTACACTTCAATCCCCAAAAAACGTGTGGTATTGTTTTTAATACACCTGGAAAAGCTAATCTCTATCGTAGGCCGCCGCACATTAAAATGAATGGTAATACCATTAAGATTGGTCAAATGATAAAATATTTAGGTGCTGTGCTTGATTTTTGTTTGTCATGGGATAATTGTGTTAGATATATTACTAATCGCACAGGCCTAATTTTACAATCTTTTGCTCAAGTGGCAAGAAGGACCTGAGGGCTTTCTGCTGAAGCACTGTCCATCATCTATGATGCCATTTACATTCCCATCATAACATATGCGTGTGGCACATGTGCGTTTGAAATGTACGTAAAGTACATTTCCCGTACATTCAATTGCAAACTAGTATCTTCACAGAGGAGGGCACTTAACCTATTACTAAGGCATATCGAACTATTCATAATCAAAGCCTTCAGGTGATTGCGAAGAAATTGCCAATCAATCTTGCGA